CATTAGGAAGCATGGTTATAATTGAATATTCAATTCATATGACTTGGTCAACAATAGTCAACCTTCCATAGTCGACTTTGTTGACTAAAAGTCAACTATCATAAAGAATGACTTCCAAATTCTTCTCTTAATGATGCATGATGCATACAATACTAACCATGTCTTATATTTGAATTGAGAAGTCCCAAAGATCAAGTAAAAGGTCAACCTCCAAAATTAACTCTGACCAAAAAGTCTACTGTAGCACAATAACATGTTCCATAAGTAGCACAACAAGAAACCCTAGTCCATGGAAATCAATAGCATCCAATTGAGAGTCTCAAATTCCTTGTACCAAATAGAGAACCATAAACTTCACAAGTATCGCAAATAACCTTAGTGTTGAGGCCAATTGAACTCAGATGAGACTCCTTTTCTCTAAGCAACCTTGCCTTGATATTGCACCATGATTGATGAAGCCTCACCAAAAAACATAATCATTGAGAAACCCTAGCTTGTGCCAAAGTCCAAATTCCAACGCACTTTAAGATTCATAAACCAATGGACATGTATGATGCAAAATGAATAACCCCAAGATGAAATGGATGCCCTAGGTTAAGGGAGAATGAATGGATTGCATAATGCTTCAGCCAGATTAAAAATGAAATAGGGAAAATTTAAGGTATGACACCAAGGAGATGATGAAGAGCTTTTCCAGAAGGTGTGAAAAATTTAATCGCATGGATGAGGAATAATCAATGAAATATGTGAAATAAAGAAAAAGATATATCATGTGAAGAAAACTGATGAAGTTGGTTTTATTGTGAACAACATGCACGAAGGTGGGATTACATGAAAGAACCATTTCCTTTGGGAGTGTACAGTAACGAAGCCGAAAACAATCATAACCAATGTGATGGTAGAATTTTTATTTCCCTTACTGATATCATCATTTTTATGAATATTCATTGAATTTGTTAATAGATCACTGCATTGTTAATATAAATTTTTCATATCTTTCCCAAATGTGTAAGAAAAAGATTCCTCAGGCGTAGGATAAATGAGGTTAAATTTATTGATGTTGACGATGATCAATATTACAACTACAATATTTATACAACTAAAAGAAACAATCCATAAATGGATAATAATGAAATGTACATTGGAAGGGATTGATATGAATTTGTGAAAAATAAGAAGCTTTGTAGTAGGGATGTGTTGACTTTCAAAATGTGACTGATCTCAAGATTCATGTTTGTTTATTGGAAGATGAAATGATGTAAGTTGTTGGAAAGTTACTTTCTGATCTTTCTATAATGGATGGTGTTTTATGTTTTAGTATGTTATTTTTAAGGTATCAAATTTATCATTCTCCAAGTTATTAGTGAAATTTTCATTTTTTTTTTGTCAATCTTTAACACCTTATCAATTATGTTATGATTCATGTAATTTATTATAAATTAATGACATGTGTAATTAACATATTATATAATTTAATTCAGGTATTTAACAAAACATGGAATAAGGAATATAAACATGTATGGAGAGAACTTAAATATTTTCATGCAACAATAACTTCTATTTATTTAAATATGAATAACAGTTGCAATTGCATCAACATATCCCCTCATACAATCAGTCATGTGTGTATGCATGGGTCTGTTATTAGTTCTTAAATAAAAAATAACATGGATATTTTGGATATTATGGAAAATTGGGGGTGTTAGCACTACTACAAAATAGACTTTTTGCAACATCATATTACAACGAATATCCTGTTAACCGTGATAATAACTATTTTTTGGAAGTTTTTTTGTATTTATTAAAAGACATTTCAATATGGTCGTAGTTAACAACCATAGTGAAATATACTTGGAGTGGAAGGGTTCGAATCCAAGCGCCAACAATTTTCCATTTATCGTGACAAAATGGACTTGTCACCAAGATTCTTATAATCAACCGTGATGTGAGGTGCAATCATTTTATTACGGTTCATATTATCAACCATAGCGAAAGGTCTTAAATATTTATATATAAGTGAAATTATCTGCAGCTTCACCACATAACAGTCATCTCTCTCAAAACAAAACTCTAACATCTCTTTCACTCGTCTCTCTTAAAACTAAACCCTGACATATTTTTCACTCGTCTCTCTCATATGAAAACCCCCAAACTCATGCAGCAAACTCGTCTTCTTCAAAGGATTACTTTGTTGCATAAAATATTAGAAAATAACTATCTTATAGGTTTGTCTTCATAATAGTTTATGTTTCATAATTTGTTTATGACTTATTGTTTACATTTTAATAGTTTGTTTCATAATGTTTGAACTTTCTTTTTGTTTTGACTTGTAGGTAGGGAAGATAAATGAAAAAAATTAGCGAGGATGAAGTTAAAGCGAGCACTGCAAACTTGTGTGAAAGACCCAGAATGACATCCATTCAAATTTAACACAAGTCTACAGCTCTCACTTCAGCTCCATCCTCCTTCCATTTTGGATGTCATTATGGAATATGCACATTTCTGAAACATTTTATGAGTTGATATGTTGTTGCTATTATTAATAAAAAAAATGTATGTTGTGTGTAGTTTATGCTATGTTTTGATGATTTTTTTTGTTTTTTATAAGAGTTGTTTGTTGTATCTTGTATGTTGTTTAAGGTTTGTTGTTCATGAATGTTGTTGTTATATCTTTGTTTAAAAGATGAGTTTATTATATCTTATGTGGTTTGAGTGTTTTTTCAATCCCTTGCCGAATATATAACTTTTCGAATTGCATTAGAAAATTATAATATGATAGATAAAGTTATATTAGAAAACAAGTTACACATTCAATGCTATACAATAATTCTTTAGCCCATTGTCTGCATCTCACTCTTTAATCGTTAGAATTTGATTTAATGCTTCTAGTTCTTCAACCGCTCATTTCTCCATCTCTAATTGTGTTTGCAAAGTAAATAATATTTTGAAAAATAAAGTTGAGGTGAAGGAAGGGGAGGTTGAAGAACTAGGAGCATTAAACCAAGTTCTAACCGTTAAAGAGAAAAATGCGAATAAGGAGCTGAAGAATTCTTGTTTAGCATTGAAGATGTAACTTGTTCTTTTAATATAACTTAATTTGTCATATTACAATGTTCTAGATCATATTGAAAAGTTATATGTTTAGTAAGCATTGGCAAAATAAGAATTCCACATATATAATTTATAATAAGCTCACTGTATATATCACAACGGTTGTTTAGAACAACCGTTGTTAAGTGTTATGCGTTAAAGAATATCACAATGGTTGTTTGAAGTAACCGTTGTGATAGGTAGCACATTACCTAATTTATTATTATGATCGCACGATAATAGTAGAAAACATCATACATAGAACTACCCCTACCTCACAACAGTTGGTCAGACGTGATGATATCTCTTTTTTATCCGTTATAAAACGACTTTTCCGTAACAGTGCAGATTCATCTGAGGGATGACATGAAAAAGTTTTAATGCTAAAACTTTAATATTTTTAACAAACCAAATTCAGATTTGAAAAAACTTAACCCGACCCATTCGATTTTTACGCCTAGCTCTAACCACTACAACCTCGCAGTTTGAAAAAAATACTAGATTTATTTACCTGAGAATTTTAATGAAGCAGACGACGGTCTTTAGCGGACAGACTTTGATGGAAGTCAGATCCAAAACTCAAACCCAATCTATCATTTTTTAATGGGTGGAAGGTTAGACCTACTAATTTAGAATCTAGATTTTATAGTATAAGACAAAATTATTAAATTGTCCTTATTTATCGACTACCTCAAATAAATGTTTTTAAATTAAACCAAAACATCACGATAAATAATAGTATTAAATAAGTATAAAGAAGTTGTTATTTTTATTTGTATGATGCCTAAAATTTAAAGTATATTTTTTACTTGTTTTTTTACGGGATATTTTTTATTTATTATTACCGGAGATATCGATGGTATGTATTATCTTATTCTCTCTGTAATAAATTATAAGTAAATTTAATTTTTTATTTATAACATTTGATTATTAATGTATATAATTTATATATAAATTATATACATTGATTGTCAAAAATATTTTAAAAAAATCATATTTATTTATAATTCATTAAGGAGTACTAATTTTCAAAAATGTATAGAAAATAATCTCAACTATTCATTATCAACACCATCCTCATGATCTCTATTAAAATAGAAATTAAATTTATAACAAATTAAAAATTCATCTATCAAAAAATAATATGTATTTATTCTTATTTGTTTTCTAATTTCCTTCCTACTAAATAGCATTACTCTTCTTCTAAAATGAAAGTTGAATTCAATCTCAAACTTCCACTAGACTACCCATTTAGTTTGTAGTTAAACAAGGTAACAACATTTGAATAATGTTCAAAGAAACATGTGAATAATGTTCCAATACACCTCATTACTAACATTTTCAGATAATGCCATTCCAAATCATAAAACAACCAAATCCAATCCACAGTATTTTTTCTTAGACTGTTTTGACCTTCATGATTTGGGGGTTACTTAACGGACAAAACAAACCAATTACGTTCCGTAATATCAGAAATCATGAAACACATTTGGGTCCTACATCTTTAGTTTAATCACACCATTTACCCCTCTCTTAAAGCACAACAATTTCTCAGCTTCATGACATGCGCTTCTTTAATTACTTGATTGCATTTTTTTATTAATTGATTATTTCCTTTTAAATATAAAAGTTTGGAGTATTATGAAAAACCTCTAGTAAAAAAAGAAAATATAATTATATACTGATGTCTCATAAAAGAAGAGAAAATATGAAAAACCTCCTAGTAAAATACCATAATGTGTCGTCATTACCCACGACATTTGGGGGACAACTTTAGGTTTAAAATATTGTCATTTATGTAGCTTGGAACCCTATAAAATAACCCTCCCCAAACACTTTATTCCCTCAATCCTACTGCCTTCTATTCTCTTCCATTCTTTTCATTTCATTTTCCAAATTTGTTTGAGGTCATGGCCTTGGAAGCCCCTGTTGTTTGGACGCACACTGGCCACAACACTCGCCAAGTAACATCACCTTTCTCTCCGCGTAGGCATTTCAATGGTCTGGCATTGGATCCCAAAATTCTGTGCACAAACGCTATGCCAGCCGTCAGTGAAGTTAGAAATGTTAATGGAATTGAAGGTGTTGGAAGTCTTATGCATATAACCATGGCTGAAAGTGAGTAATTTATTTTTAACTATTAATTAATCAAAACTATAGACAATCAAAATTATATTGATAATTAAATCAATGTTGTAGGTGCAGGAGGTGGTTTTAAAAGGGTGAAAATTGACAAAATCGACCATGCTGAGATGAAGTATCGTTATAGTGTGGTCGATGGTTCAGATTTTGACCATGATATGACAGAGAAAATTAGTTACCAGGTAACGGTTGAGGCTGATCCAAATGGTGGTCCTGGTTCCGTTGCTACCATCAAAGTCAAACACTACTGGAGACACTTTGGAAAAGGCTTGGATCTCTCAGATGAACAGGTGCTTGAGCAAACTCATATGCAAGGATTTGATGTTTTTGATGACGCTGAGAGGTACCTGGAGGAAAAATGAAAATTTCATGGCAACCAGGCGCTTATTCCACTGCTGGAAAACCATAGCCTCAGTGTTTAGGCTACGGTTTTCGTGGTTTAAGCCGCCCTTTTGTATGGTTGCCTGAAATCTGTTATGTTATTTATTTGTTTGGTTTATATATATATTTGTGAAGAAGTCTAAGTTGCCTGAGATATAAAGGCTCTTAGAACACCTTGTGTTTTTGTTTTTGGTTTTCTGTCTCTGGAAAAATGTTATTTGTTTGTTTGGTTTTTGAACTCAGTTATGGAGAATTGTCATCTGTTGTTCCGATGAGATTAGGCGGCGTTGCCAATGGTCACATTTACATCGTCAGTGCCTATTGTTGAAATCTATAAAGTTTTCTAATTTCACTTTTGCAAGCATAAAATATTGTCCATGAATTTTATCAAGGTTCTCAATTTAAAAATCTTTAATTATCTGTGATTGCAATTTCACCCGTTATTTTAGTAGCAAATGTTTAATTTAATTATTAAACAGGAATCTTTTAAAAAAACAACATTTTTTCGAGTCTTAAACTCTAAAATTCTGCCCTTCATTTCATTCTTGTTGAAAATTTTGAATTTAGTTTAATTATTAGATCATTAAATTGTTGTCCTTTTTATTAGATTTTTATAACTTTAAGATAGAAATTATTAAACGTCAAATAAATACGAGTGTCCATTTGTTATTTAAGACAATCAATTAATATATAGATTAATAAAAACATCTAACTTTTGATTTTGTAAAAAGAAAAACTCTAAAATTCTAAAACAAGAGTTTTCATGGTAGATATTAAAAAATAAGATATTCAATTAAGGACAATAAGGAAAATCTAAAGTATATATATATATATATATATATATATATATATATATATATATATATATATATATATATATATATATATATATATATATATATATATATATATATATATATATATATATATATATATATATATATATATATATATATATATATATATATATATATATATATATATCCTAATAATTGATGCAACCAAGTAGTTAATTAATAGAGTATTCAAATGTAAAAAATGTTTCTCTTTAAAAATCATATAAATTTTTTTAGCGAGTTTGATAATCTAAAATATTTTTAACAATAATTTATAAAAGGAGCTCTACATGGTGGAAAGATCTATAAGGAGTTAGCATTCACAAAAACTTATTAGTTTGATTGTTTTATAGAAAATTTATCTTTCAAATTTGATTGTTTTATAGAAAATTTATCTTTTAAATTTGGCGCAGGAAACAATATCCTGTTCTGGAACAACGGGTGGATAGGAGACTATCCTCTTAGAATGTTATTTTGGTGACCCAAGGTTCTATAATGGGTTCTATAGATCGAGTGCTGAAGATTCTGAAGACGCAGTTCTGAAGACTTGAAGTTCTAAAGACCCAAGTGTTATTCTTATTCTTCCAACGCAGGTTTAGAAGCCTCTGACATTAGAAGAAAGAAAGGATAAGATTACGTTGTACAAAAAGTACATGGTACAAACAAAATGTTCAATTCCACTACCATGTAGAAATACTAGAAATACCTTTCAACATATATAATATTTTATTGGCTATACAAAGGCTTGAAGACTATGAGAGAAAGTTGTTAATTCACGCAAATTCACGTTGATACACGTTCTATTAAGATTGTTCATACACTTTCATATTTCTCTAGTCTATGTTCTAAAATTAATGTTTACATATCCGCTTGTGTAGAAGTATAGTTTTTTGTAAACAAACTTTGTTCACACAATTGTTTGATTTTCCTTAAGGGACCAGTTGTTCAGAATCCTTGAGAAGTATAAGATTATTGTGTCTTAGAGGTTGTAACGTTAGTCACTTGCAATTAGCTTGTGCATTGTAATAATCTGTTTGATTATTGGATTAAGTCCTTGTTAAGAAAGTCAAAATCGCCTTGGTGGATGGACTAGACTAGCTTGATAGTTTTCAAGTGAACTACTATAAACATAACTTGTTCTTTCCTTCTTGCATCTTATCACTATTATCACTAAGTGAAGTAACTTTTTACGGTTTAAAGGGGATTTTAAAAGGAAAAGTTTTTAGTTTAAAACCTAATTCTACCCCCCCCCCCCCCCCCCCCTCATGTGTTTTTCACACCTTCAATAGGCATCAGAGCTCCGATTCTGAGGAGTTGATAAAAAGTTTGAATTTTTATCAAGCACCTAATAGTGTTCAGTATCGATCCAGATTGTGTGAAAAACAATGGCAGATAAAGGTAACAATGCTATTGTAACTGGTGATAATATGGATAACGATAGAGATCAGTATAGTGGTAAACCTCATATGTTTGATGGAGAAAAGTTTGACTATTGGAAGGACATAATTGAAAGTTATTTTCTGGGATACTACTTGGATCCATGGGATTTGGTAATTGATGGCTACACTCACCCAGTAGATGATAAAGGTCTAAAGATTGCCAGAAGTGCTATGACAAATGCTCATAAGAAGGTTCACATAAATCATTACAAAGCAATAACAATTCTTCTAAGTGTTATTTTCTATAATGAGTATGAGAAGATCACAGATAGAGAAACTACAAAGTCTATTTTTGATTCTCTTCATATGACTCATGAAGGAAATGCTCAAGTTAAGAAGACAAAGGCTCTGGCCCTAATCCATAAATATGAAGCCTTTAGAATGCAAGATGATGAATTCGTGGGAACGATGTTTTCAAGATTTCAGACTCTTGTTGCAGGACTCAAAGTTCTGAATAAAGGATATTCTACGGTAAATCATGTTAAGAAGATTATTAGAAGTATGCCTAAGAAATGGAGACCAATTGTAACTGCTTTGAAGTTGTCAAAGGATCTGAACAACACTAGTCTTGAGGAACTAATTAGTTCTTTAAGAAGTCATGAGATAGAGCTTGAGAAAGATGAACCTTGGAAAAGAGTTAAATTTGTGGCTTTGAAGTCTAAGTCTGAAAAGACCAAGGCTTTTCAAGCAGAAAAAGAATCAGAAGGATCTGAAGAAGATTCAGATGAAGATGCACTTTATCTGATATCCAGAAGGATAAGTCGGATATGGAAACACACACAGAGAAAGTTCAAAGGATCAAGAAGAACAAATGGTAGATCTGAATCTACATCTGGTTAAAAGAAAGATTCTGGAAAATAAGTTACCTGTTATGAATCTAAGGAGTCTGAACATTATAAGAATGAATGCCTAAAGCTCAAGAAAGACAAGAAACCGAAGAAGGACTACAAAGCCAAGAATGGTCTCATAGCAACATGGGATGATTTAGAGTCAGAAGAAGAAGATTTTGATGAAGAACATGTCAATATAGCATTCATGGCACAAACCACCACCAGTGAGGCGGTATAAGAGGACGAACTGGCACTTGATGATGAGTTAGAATATGATGACGACAAATAAGTACTTTCTTCCTTATCTCGTTCTGAACTTGAAATTGGTTTATCAGAACTAATGAAAAGGTAACAATCTCTTCTAAGTAAACACAATACTCTGAAAAAGAATTTTGTAGTTACTTCTGAGAACTCTACTAAAGATGAGCAAAACCTTTCCGATTTATGTGAAAAATGATTTATTTTAGAAAAATCAAATACTGCTCTGAAAAGTAAAGTTTCTAAATTAGAAGAAGATATTATATCTAGTACATCTGTTACTGATGAAGTAATCATATATGATAGAGCTCTTCAGCACTTCCTAGCTAAAAACATAGATATAAGCAAAACGGCTTCAATGATCTATGGACTTAGCAGAAATAGAAGTAGAGGCTTCGGATATTCAGGACCATCAAAAATAATTAATGAGACTCTGAGTGTCAAACCAAAACCTCTTTCTGAATATTTCGTGCTTGTTGGTACAAAATTGAAATGTCCAGAACAAGAAGCTTCTGATTCCACTATAGCACAACCATAGACACAAAAGGAAACTTCTATGTCTAAATACCATGCACAAATTCCACTTGATTATCCTGTTGCACAAGATTCCAAAGGGGTCAGAACCTCTAGAACTGCTAACAAGAAAGGACCTAGAAATTGGGTACCTAAGGATCAGATAATCTATGTTACAGATGTCCTTGATGGGGCCACTGAAACACCAATCATGGTACCTGGACAATGGATGCTCGGGACACATGACCGGCGAAAGGCATGTTCCAAGATTTGGAACTTAAGTCTGGAGACGTTTTTGGTTTCGGAGGCAACCAGAAGGGAAAGATCATTGGCTCTGAAACTATTGGTAATGGTAAACTTCTTTCTATTAACAATTTTCTTTTAGTCGAGGGTCTTATGCATAACCTCTTGTCAATTATCCAACTTAGTGACAATGGTTATGACGTCATTTTCAATCAAACGTCTTGTAAAGCTGTTAGTTAGAAAGATGGCTCAGTCTTGTTCAATGGTATGAGGGAGAATAATATTTACAAAATTAGATTATGAGATTTGAAAAATCAGAATGTAAAATGTCTTATGACTGTTCAAGAAGAGTAATGGGTCTGGCACAACGTTTGGGCCATGTTAGCTTGAGAAAAATATCTCAAATAAATAAGCTTGGATTACTCAGAGGCTTGCCCAATCTGAAGTATACTTCAGATGCTCTTTGAAAAGCATGTTAGAAAGGCAAATTTTCAAAAACCTCTTTTAAAGCTAAAAAGATTGTTTCGACCTCTAGACCATTAGAACTTCTTCACATTGACTTGTTTGGACCAGTGAAAATTGCTTCTGTCAATGGAAAGAAATATGGACTTGTCATCGTTGATGATTACATCAGATGGACATGGGTAAAATTCTTGAAACACAAGGATGAGTCACATTTTGTGTTTTCTTCTTTCTCCTCCCAAGTGCAAAATGAAAAGAATTGCAAAATAGTCAGAGATAGAAGCGATTATGGTGGAGAATTTGAAAACAAAGATTTTGAAAAACTTTTTTATTCTAATGGCATAATCCAAGATTTCTCCTATCCTAGAACTCCACAATAAAATGGGGCTGTAGAGAGGAAACATAGAACATTGCAAGAAATGGCTCGCACCATGATCCAAAAAACTCAAATGGCTAAATACTTCTGGGCAAAAGCAATACATACAGCGTGTTATATTCAAAATAGAATCTCTATAAGACCTATTTTTAGTAGGACTCCTTATGAATTATGAAAGAATAGAAAGCCCAACATTTCTTATTCCATCCCTTCAAATGTGTATGTTTTATGTTGAATACTAAAGAGAATCTGGGAAAATTTGATTCCAAAGTGCAGAAGTGTTTGTTGTTAGGATATTCTGAATGATCAAAAGGTTTCAGAGTCTATAATAATTGGGAAAAAATATAGAGTAGCCACCTTTAATTTTTATCCTAAGACAGGAATATAACATAATAACCTTAATTAATGATACAGAGATTCTAGGTTCTTAACTCACTTTAGACAAGCGTAGGTGTTAGGCACCCTTTATCTACCTTGTTCACAAGGATACTAGGGTTTAGATTTAAGGTTTAGGAATAGGGTTTTAATTTTTTAGTTAGGGGAGCTCACCTTGGTTTTTAAGCCGCCCGCCTACGTGTCCTATTATGAGGAATATGAGTTCCAATTCGTAGTTCGAAGTGTTTGATTGTTTTTTATGGATTTTGGAAATATTTTGAATTAATCCTTGAACCAATCTGAGTTGAAAATAGCGGAATCGTAGACGTAGTTCGTAGTTAATGAAAAAGAACTCCACAATCCTTTTTGAAAATATCTTGAATTTAATTATGTTAGTAACAAAAAGGTTAGCATTTGATTGATTAGCTGTTTTAGAATATGTTATGCAATATGTAAAAAAATAAATTCGAATGAGAAAAAGATTTAAATGCAATTAGAAATAGGATTAGTGTTTTTTTTTAAAATAGTTTGACTAATAGATAATTATTTTATAATTATTAAAAATATATAAAATACTTTTAATGAAAAAATCTAATAGTTATTTAATAATTATGCAAAAAATTATTTAATGCAAATGCTAAAGAATAAGTAGAATTAAATTAAGAATAGAAAATAAAAAAATTAAAAGAATTAAATCATTTAAGAAAATTAATTAAGCTTTTAGATGGTGTAAAACTAAGATTGGGTGGTGTATGATTTTAGGGGGTGTAAAACTAAGATTAGGTGGTGTATGAGAAAAATATTTAGACTCAAAGATATTCTGAGCCTAAATGACTGGGATGCAAATTACAGTAGGATAGTAAAAATGTGGGGTGTAAATAATAAGGGTCTAAGTTCATAAATTGAACTTGGCCCAATTGCGTAGGGAGGGGTGGAAAGGAGGGGTTTTCTATAATAATAATAATAATA